AGCTTGCGCGGAAATAAAGAACCGTTAAGAGAAAGTGCAAACACAACAACGTCATCCTAAACCGTGAGAAGTGTGTTCAGTAAAATTTATCTTATCCCGTAAGTAAATATATACAGTTCACAGTTTCAGTAAACAAATACAGTAAGATATGCTACTTGCACATAATCTTGTCTAGTTAACAGAATGCAAAGTATATTAAACACCGATAAAATTAATGAAGTCGCCAGTGATGAGTAAAACCATACAAATTTATTGAAATTTCGACCTAACTGGCCAGTACAATTTAATTAGAAACACTACGTTTCGACCCTTAGGTACGGGTCCTTTTCAAGTGTAACTTTCAAGAGGTTGATTCGACAGCAGTAAAATTACTAATGTCAAATAATAACATTAGTAATTTTACTGCTGTCGAATCAACATCTTGAAAGTTACACTTGAAAAGGACCCGTACTTAAGGGTCGAAACGTAGTGTTTTTAATTAAATTATACTGGCCAGTTAGGTCGAAATTTCAATAAATTTGTATATATTAAACACGTTGGATAATATTGATTTTAATTTTCCTCCTCTTCATCTTCCGATCAAGCATTTTTAATATAAAAAAAATTAGCGTTAAAAATATTTCCCTCCCGTTTTTATAAATGACGAATGTCAAGATTATTCAGCCTTTCTCGCGGCGTGTAAAGGAACAGATCGAATATCTTACGGTGTTTATGCGTAAACGCCCAATGTTGGGTCCCGTTAGATCGTCGTATACGCGTCTCCACCTGCGACTGGAAAAATCGCGTGATTACACGTGCATACGCGTGCGCGCGCGTGCGTCGTGCATAATGAAGGAGCGGCTCCGAGATGCGACGCGGCGCGAACGGCCGTTACATCATTTATCTCGCGGAAATCGTAGACTCGCATCGAAATAGCCAACACACACATACGCTTCGTGTCCCATGATATAACACGCACACAATAAGACGCGTATATATCTCACATTTGCGCGTGGGTGTAGGTCACGTGCGTGTATGTGTGTGTAAAGGGTGCGAAAATGAATTTATACCGTCGTATCGGTAGTTTCAAGAGCGTCGAGAGCGACAAGAATGCGACGAAGAAAATTGAATTACCGGAGGATATATCCTGACACATGGGAGATCATTTATTTAAAATATGCTGTATAATATATAGCAAAAGAGAATCTGAACGCCATCGTCGGATGACGGAATAAAAGTTGCGCTTTGACGTACGGTTATTGCAGTAAGAAATTCTGCTCACGCTTTCTCGTCGTAAATGCACTGATTGAATAGCAGTCTACGTCAAAAGTGTCAAACACGTATAATTATATAGCGTGTTTCAGATGTATACAGGAGAGTCTCGGGAGATACTCAAAGGAAAGAAGGGAGAATAATGATCAAGTTTCTAAATTGCAAATAATTTTGAAATTGTTTTCTTTCCTTTTTTCTTTCAAGAATGCACATCGCAATTTCAAGTTGCATCGAGAAAGACGTCAGACGTTAATTCTAAGACACCCTATGTAACGATCCTCAAGAATTAGCAAGCGGTTTTTGCTCCTATGAAACATCCGGTATGCGTGAATACATTACATTTCGCCCGTCTCTTCGCGGACGACGCGACGCGTCGCGTGATAATGAATCTCGGTAAGGAAAAGAGCTGCTGCCTTTATGACGTTCTAGTCGATTAAGCGCGATGTAATCGCAGCTGCCCGCCAGCAGACGCGGCTCTTTCGCGTCGGATTGGCAACGGAGACGCCGTAATCCAATTTGACAAGATTGCGTTTTCACGCGATCTCGTCTGTCCGAACTCGTCTTTTTTCACTGTGCCTTACGTCGTCGCGTATCATACGTTTCTATACTCGAGTTTTATTGATACACTTCCATTCAATATCTTTCATCCCCCGATATATTTATTGTATTACATAATATTACATTAATATTATATATTTGTCGGAATAAAATCTTGAAATTTATTTATTTATTAATCTTACTATACTCCATTTTCTCATCGGCATAACTTTTTATTTAAAAAATGTATTAAAGAATTTTTGATATACTTATTTTCGGTGTACTATATATCGGAGCTGTAATTATTTTTGAACAAAAAATATTGTATTAAAGAAATTCTGATATTGACACTTCTGATATACTGTATCGGAGCTGTAAGGGTATCGATAGCGTCTTGAATTTAATCGTCAGTCGTCGTTCTCGTACGAGAGAATCGCAGATATATAATAAACATACATACTTGAATGAGATACGGTAGTAATTTATAGAACGTTGTATAAGTCACGACGGTATGCGAAAACGATACTGGGTGTGGTAAACCTCGTAAGTGCACTGATAAGAGTCTTCATGGATAATCCGGATCTATACTCACTATATACATGTTACACGGCCATCGGAACGACACTCACCTGAAACAGAACGAAAATGATGCTTTAGTAATGTTACCATCCTCAAGATAGATTTAATGATCCACAAGATAGATTCAATTAATTGATATGTCGTTTTATCACTGGCTATAAATGATGACATGACGACATAATGACGTATGGTTCATTTAAAATTCATATTTGAAAATCCTACGGCGTATAAGAAGGCTGTGTTAACACTTTCACTGTTATTCTTAAATATTTATTCGCATGCATTAAAGCATTAAATATTATATATAAAAATAATCACGAAACAAAATCTTATACATTAATTAAATGTAAAAATTCATGCTATACATATAGGAAATAAAATATAAATATCGCATAATATATAATAATATAAAATATAATAATAAAAATATATAAATAAAGTTATACATGTATAAAGATATTATATAATATAAATGTATATTTTTGTTATGTATATTTTTTAATAATATTCAAAAAGAAACAATTAAAATCGAGTTCGGTGTAATTTGAGTTATTATGATAACTAATACAAGTTTTCTTTTTTTTGTCAAAATATAATATATGAAATAATATTAGTGTTTATTGATGGGCAAGAGAAAATAAAACATAGAATATTATAGTTATGTAAATGCACTTTTAGCATAGTTTGCTTTCATGCACTAAATCAAAAGCGATGAAAGTGATACATTGATAAAAGCGCAGCATATAAAGAGAACATCAGAGATAACGATTCACAATATACTGTCCGAATCATAACGGACATAATGCATCAAGGAAAAGATCATAAAGATTGTTAGGTGAAGCGAGCCATTTTCCTGATTGCTATCTGCTGCGAACAACAAAACTGCGATATTTATTATTAATTAATGTCGCGTTTAGAAACGCTGCTCTGTTAACTCGGTCATGTGATATAAACGCGTTCCAAATCGGCTGACGAAATGTACCAAACGCAAATCGGACATCGATAAACGCGATAAATCATGTCTCCAGCACCGGAAGTGCATCGCCGGTATTGTCGGTCTGACACACTTCGACCTTTAGATATGTGCAACTGCAATCGTAACTAGTTCACTCTAAATCGATATCTACTCGTAGCGAAAAACAATATCAGAGGAATGCTTTTATTTAGCAGAAAGAAAAAAAATATAATTGGAGCACAAGCGGAAACAGTGAAGCTGTGACAGTTAACATGAAAAGTCAAATTCTATCTCGCAACGCATGACCTACAAATACAATTACAGAAGTAAATCTCGAATTTTGAAGAAGAATTGAGATAACAGCGGACAGTCAAAAATATTTAAATTAAAGTCAACAAATTATTTTTTCTGTGTAAAATATCTCTGCAGATTTCATCAAACTCCAATTAAACAAGCAGTATCTTATTTGACGATACTGAAAATACGAGAATTTTTTAATAGAATCTACTCTGAAAATCTTGATAATGGAACAATATGGTATTGAAATAATTTTATAAGAGTTTCTCTGATTAATATTTACCACAATAAAAAATATAAATATTTCAATATTTTAATATGCACAAAGTAAAAATAATCGAATATATTTTATATCTTATTGTGATAAATATTAATATTTTTTATTGTGGTAAATATTGTTCCACGATTACCATGATTTTCAGAGTAAATTCTAAGAGAAAATTCTCTCTGTATTCTCTGTGTAGATATTATTATCGATACACGGCACCATATTTTCACTATATCATTATTCACGGTCTACCTGTTTGCGTTTATTTAAAAATATCAAAAGTGTTTTGCTATCCCTGAAGAAGAGACATTCCGTCGCGCCATGTTCGATACCGCGACGCGCCCCGATGTAAATACGATCGAAAGAAGAAAAAGGGTTGTGGGGAGAAGGAACAAGATGTACCGCGAGTTCGCGCCGAGAATGATAGCTCGTCAAGGCTGCCGCTGCTTGACAGCCTGACCTCGTGCCACGAGGCCGCGACGGTATATTTACCACCTGGAAGTGCCTAGAAGAAGGTTCTCATCCGCGTTCCCTAATGGTCTATTATTGGACGGTCTATTAAAGGGAATGTGCTTGAGCGAGGACCGTCACGCCTGTCGCGCGAAAATTACAGGATAGCGTTGCGTCCACGACACGGTGATAAAACGCAACGTGTAACAAATTTATCCCGAGACATTATAATCTAAGACTTGTATTTTAATATGTTAAGTACAGGATATACGAGACAATTAAAATGTCAGCTGTTCTTCAAACATGACAAGAGTTAACTCAAATTACAACAAAATATGTAGGATGCGTTTCGAAATTTAACAATTTTTTCAAAATTACTTTTTCATATAAATAATTGCAATACTATAATATAATATTTTATTTTAACATTTATATTTGTTTTAAAAGAATCATAGCGTAAAATATCTTGACAAAAAAAGAATATATGATTTTTTAAACATAAAGTTAAACGCTGATATTTTAATATTTTATATTCATCTCTGTTTTAATTTTTTTTTTTTATAAAAATGAAAAGAGGCCAAACAAAATGAAGTAAACGTACGAGAAATCTTTTGAAAAGACCGCCATACAGAATCGATATTGAGCAACAGCAGCGCTCGTGAGTCTCGCATCGAGAACGTAATCGCTAGCATATGCTGCGTAATATCACGACTTTATCTTCATCAAAAAAAGAAAGAAAATACAACTATATACATTGTCTTCGCAAGAACGCGCGCACGCGCTAAATTGACATGTGTACAGCTGTGCCGAGTCATCAAGTGCAAGTAAAGTCCAAGTAGCAACGTTAGCTGTATGTGCATCCGTCGACTGCAACTACATGTGTTCACCAACAGGAATATCCTGCGCATGCGTAAAAAAGTGAGTATAGAACTAGTATCAATATAGATACATGCACATGCGCACTTTAAACATTTTTAGACATCTAAGCAAAATATTTCTATAATTTTTGCTCCAAAATGATTGTTAACACAATATTCATATACAAAATTATTAATATTAAAAATAAAATAAAACACTAAATATAAATGAGATAATTAGAAAATGCACATTATTTGATCGATAGTAAAAGTTGAAATTAAATGATGCGAATGCACTTGTATGTACAGATATAAATTAGCAACGTGATTCCTCGAGCGCGATTGTACTAATAAGTAAAAATTAGATCGCGGAAGGGATTATCGCTCCATCGTAATTTGCCGCGTGAATAGAAGCGAGATTCAATCTATTATACATGATTCCAATTGTCTGACCATATTATCTGATGTATTCGCTTTCAATCGTTGTTTAAAAAGAATAATCGCGTTCTAAATGAATTTTGCTTGCGCGCTGCAACGCGAATCAAATCAATCACGTGATCGAGATGCGATCGATATTTTTCCGACTAAAACAGTAAAACAATTTGTTTGTCAAAATTGCAATGGCAAAAACAAAAAGGCGCAAATTCGAAACCGTGCCGCATCAATATAATTGCGCGACGTAATTGTAATTTGACTTCGCAATTACGACAGACGTCGTAATTTAAAGTATTCCTGGAACTTTGCAACTACGTTCGATGAAGCAATCAAAATCGCATACCGGGAAATTCACGCATGCTGTGCAAAAGTTGACGCGCACCATTAATTACGTCGTTACTCATTCCGACGCTCTGACGCCGCGAAACACCCGTAAAAGACAGAAACGTTCACGTGTAACCGCGATCTTAAGCATCCGTGCGAAACCGTCGTATTGAGCCTCGTTAACCTTGACATTTCGTACGACTCATGCCTCGCGTTTATTTTAGAAAGGTAGAACGATGTACACCGTGACGAATTTTTTACCCCGCGGGTCGATAAGCGATACTTGCGAGTGTGATGCGATCTGTCATCATCTATTTATGCAGGAACACGCAAACTCCCCTACAAGTATCGTCGTCGCTTTCAGCCGCACGTTCTTGGCCTAATCTAAATGTGGCATCTGTTTTCTCAACAAAGATATTTCATGCCATTCTCTTTCTTGCATTTTAATCTTGCGCATTAAATATTCGGATTACAGGATAACTGCATTGTAATTAAATTTCTGACTAAATAGATTCGAAGTAAATTAAAGAATGACATTTTGTTCATTCTTTTCGTGAAACTTAATTCTCTAAACTACGCTTTCAATAATGGAAACTTTGATATCTCGATATCGAGAAAAAAAAATCTGAAATTTATTACAAATTCAGTTTTTCTATTTTAATAATAATTTAATGTTTTTTTTTTGCTAATTTATATCTTATCAAATTCTTTCTTGTTAAACACTAATTATTGTATTTTCCAAAGTAGGAAGAGTCTAAACGCATATCACATTCGATGATCAAGCATCTTACAGTAAACTCTGTATAATTATGATTAATGGATATATGCTTCCGGAGGATATTAATCCTCTTTGCCTGCGCGTTTTATGATTTTTGATTTTTAAAAATAAAATCGCCTATAACGGAAAGGTTACAAAAATGCATTTTAACAAAATTTATAAAATTTACAGTTAATAAAAATCGCACAGAAATTCAATTGAAGAATTGATCAACGAAACTGAATCATCATCGAGAATGTTCGTCAAACCACAAGTTGGACGAAGAATGTTGTTCACCACAAGAGATACTAATTTCTGGGCGAAAATACTCCAGAAAAAGAAGAAGAGGAAGCCGTTGGCGTCAGAGGTTAGTGTGTCTCTCTCATTTCCCCGTTAATTATCTGACCGCACCCCTAATTATCTCTCGCGACGTCGTGCTTTATATCGGTCCGAGAGAAATCTTCTCTCAGGGGGTCACACGCGCACTTTCCCCAGACGATTTTCTTACGTAACAATATACGTTCGTGTTACAATTCGCGTGTTTCCATTCCCGCGGCATCGCACGACCTCAATAATCCTCGTGAATCTTCCCAGTCGAATAAATTCCAAGAGTCCACTATTTCAAGCATTACATTGTGTATTACATCGAGAGATTACGAACGCCATTCTTTATTCTTTCCATAAGTTCTAGCTTATCTCGGATCAGATTTGTGCGATATAAGCTTTATCTAACAAGATTTAGAAACCTCTCTGGTATTTTATCATTTTAAATATTTATTCAATATATTTTTTTTCATTTGTTGATTCTTCTACTTATTCTCGAGAATTGTTTTAATTTACATCCACAAGAGAAATTAGTTTTTATACATGTAGGATGTATAGAAAATTAAAAAAAATCTAATAAATTTAAACTTTAAACATTTTAATTTTAATCCATATCTCTGTATCTTACTCATCGGTTATTTTTTTAAACACCAGATAATCTTACTAGAATCTTACTCTACTATGGTGTAAAATTACTCCTGCGAGTGCAATTTAATCCCGTGCTACGGTAACGCGAAACGGCAAATATACAAGTAATATGATCGCGAGTGATGAGAAACGACATTAGCACAATCGGCTGGCAGGTCGTGAGTAGTAGACACAGACTTTTAAAACCGCATCGCAGGTTGACACTACTCGCTGCGGATCAATTTCTTTTTACGCACGCAACGCGGAAACCGAAAGAGAGATACAATAACCGCGTGTCAACGAGTCGACGCACGCGTGTAAGAAAAAGATCGTCGGTAACGGAATGTTGTAACGGGTCGTTTATTTTGTTCCGCGTTCGCGGATGATCCCGGCGAGCATATTTTTCCCGGCTGAGCAGCTATACAAAGCGGGTTACCCGCTTGTGATTGCGGTGTACCGCGTGCAGGTCCTAACGAGCTACCTATTGCAAGCCGACGAGCCCCCTGGACTTCGTACTTTGTCCGGTACGCCGACGTGGTGAACGATCAACGGGGAATGTCACACTTCAATTGGCCGGCGGGTGACAGTAATTACCACGTGCTTAGGACCGGCTGTTTCCCGTACATCAAGTATCACTGCAGCAAACGACCAACGCGGGACCTCAGCGGCGAGGACAGATTCTTCAAGGCGATCAAGATATTGAACCTTGGTAAAGTAGCCGGACGCGCTCGCTCGCTTCTCAAAAACGAAATCCACGTTCGGAAACGCGACCTTGTTTATTTACGCCGATCGGATGTGATAAACCGACAAGCTCATAAATCCTATAATTAATGCGAATATGCGGTGTCGTATATATATAGAATCTTCGATGTTAATTTTAACAAGATTTTTCGAACACTGTTTTCATTAAAATATCGAGATTTTTTTTGTAAGGTTGAAAATAAAGAGAGATTATTTATGAGATCAGTTAAGTTCCTATTTGAGATTGAAATTGTCCAAAGTTTTTAACGTCGCGACAAATTGCGATAGCTCTATCTTTATATCTTTTCCTGAAGAACAATTTCAATCTCAAATTGGTTATAAGAAATATTTGCATTATCAGAACGAAGACAGGAAGTTTCGCGACACCCGGTACACTTCTTCTGATGTAATTGAAATCAATCCGTATCTAAAATAACAATCGGAACAAGGCGTCACGGCAGAAACCACGCGATATCACACCACAGGCGGTCTTACTTGACTTAATTTCCAAGAAGAGACGTGTGGAACGGCAACGACGACGACTTCGAAGTCGTCGTCGTCGTCGTCGCCGTCTTTTCACGGTCAACGTCTCGTTTCATTGACTGCGCCTCCTCGATCTGGAATTAACCATGGCGAACGGGTTAGGTTCAGCAATGCGATCTCAGCGACGACGCGATAAAACCCCTGACTTCTTGCGTTTGTTCGGTCCAGGTATCCCCACCCTGATGTACGGACTTGCGGCGACGCAGCTTATCCGACACCGTGAGATCGTGAAGACGCCTGAAGGCAACGTGACAATCCACTTCTTGCTACCGGAGGACAAAGGCGCGTCTTACTAAGATCCGCGACTTGCACTGATATATTAATATATATGTATATTTATTCGTATCGAGTCTCTCCCACGTCTCATGATGGATCTTAAAGGGGATGCTGACCATGACTGTTTTACCGACTATGAATTCAAAGGCTTTTCTTTTTATTGGCCACACAGATTGAAAAATCCTCCTCCATAATTAAAGTACTGATAATAATGAACGGGGAGCGCTGTAATTTCGTATAAAAAAACAAAAGTTAAAAAATTACAGTTTCTTTATCGGCCTCTTGCATCAGCTCATAACAATACTTACTTAATACAAAAATTCGGCAGTTTATTTGTGCACAAAATATGGCCAATAGAGATGACATGAAAGAATAATACAGAAGTAATGAAAATAAGATTAAAAGCCTGTATCAAAAGATTCGTACTGGAATTAACTATGTATGTATATTTGCGTGCGGAATCGATGTCGAGGCATAAATCAGCAAAAATTAGTTGCCGAATAGCACTCCCCATTCATTATTATCAGTACTTTTATTGTGGAAAATTTTTCAATCTGTATATTCAATAAAAGTGAATCTAACCTAACTTAAAAAACAAAAACGACAGAATCCCCTTAAATGCTACTGAAATACGGAGCCGTACCAAACGATTGTTACATGTTTTTTTTTCCTACAATATCGTTACTGGTTAGTCCTCGAACGCAGAATGAGGAAGGAATCAAGCGGCGTTCAAGACTCGGCTAACTTTGTCGTAAAACATTCTGTTTATCTGCAGCGGATGTGAGCGCCAACTTCCTTAATTGAAAAAACGAAGAAGTTGAGGATAATTAGCCGGAACAGTTTCCTTTACCCAAAACGATAAGCATCTGTTCAATAGCTTCATTAAAATCAAAGTTAGATAGTAAGAACTTAATAAAGAATATAGCAAGTTGTGAATAACAAGTGGTATTATTTTTCTCCAATAAAATAATGTGTACTTTGAAATTTTTCTCAAAATACTTAAGAGGGATCAATTTACAAAGCAACGAGAAACATGTTTAAAAAAAAGTCCTACGAGTCTCGACTATGTGCAATCGAGTTCGCGATGAGAAAACGTTATGTTCCACTTTTACAACTTCTCGCTCATGTTTAGTTAATTTCAATGGGCACGTGGCAGTCTAGAGCTTATTATTAGTCAATTATGATCATAAGGCAGGTGTTCATTAGCGAGGAGACCAGTCGCGTGTGAATCCGTTACTAGATAATCGCGATTCCGCGATTATCCAGCGGTTCCGCGTCAGACTTCGAAGGGTCTAAACAGGAGGGCTTTTACAAGCACCGACGACGCGCTTCTCCGATAAGACGGTGAAGTCTTATTTAATGAGAACGGCCGCGGGCGATCCACACCTAGAACAAGGTGCGAACGCGCATAGTTAACATTAAAGTGCGGCTTTCTAATTAGCCACTACTACATGTTTCCCGACTTGATGATGCATTAACTTTGCCGACTCGTTTATCCACTGTCGAACTTGTTTTTCACGAGGAATATAACGTACGATGATGATGAAAGCTCCCGTTGCCGGCCTGCTGGCATTTAAATTTTGCGATTTATACGAGTGTCGAAGGCGACGCATAATAATTCGTTATAATTACCAGGACTGTGTATGGATTAGAGATCGAGCGGTTCCCTCGCTTCGAATCAATCAATAATATCGAATGCCGGATATCACGGTAAGACAAGTCACTTCTAAAGGACACGCTCCGTCAGTTACAGATGCGATTGCAAGTTGCCCGTAACCCTCGGCAATATGCGCGAAGCGTGCAGCTGTTTAAAGTAAATGTGATTCTGAACTTGCTAGAGTGTTATTCTTCGTATAAGATACACTCATGGGATTTGACTCGCAATTATTCCCTTATATAGCTAAGATGCGCGTTTATAATTATATACGTTGCTCGCAATTCAACATTATAATTATTTCCGCTCTCTGTTATGAACAACATTTGTGAGAAATTTTATATAGAACAAAATTTTGAATTTTTTTATCACATTTATAAATTTGATTTTTATCTGTCTAAAAAAATTAAGAATATGCATAATAGTTGCAATTATATAATAATTTGCTCTATCTAATATATTTCGATTATACTATTAGAATATATTAATAAATTATAAGAATAATAAGTTATAGAATAAATTAATAAGTTTATATAATAAATTATAATCATTTGATTTAAAGTCAAATGAAAAAGCAATGCAGTGTAAATAAATAAAGAAAATCTGCAATAATTTGCAATTTTTTTCACACACAAATCAGATCAAAAATGTTATCAGTGCTGCAGGTGCAGTGATATTTAAATTTCAAGCGACAGATAAAAATTCATTAGCGAACCGTGAAATATTACGCAATGACACTTCGAGCGTTTTCCCAACATCTGCGATCGCGCTTTCGAAAGTTTTCATCGTCTCGAGTGCAATCGACGCCAACATGCACGCACGCACTTCTATAAGAACAACCATTTATCATTCGATGATTATGTCGATAAAAAGAAAAATAAATAAAAGCCGAATAAAAGTATTAATTAGCTGCCGGCTTTCACATCAACGTTTTAGCGGACTTTCACCAATTTGTATTTTTGCATTCGTCATGGACGACGTCTTCGATCTTTCCATTGCCTTTTTCGAGAAACGAGAATATACAATATTCTCGTGTTCCATTTTCATTAACGAGGCGTAATCTGAGCAGCAGAACCGAAGAACAAATGTATTTTTCTTTAGAACATAAAAACAAAATATAGGATTATTTCAAAAAATATTTTAGAGCTCACATGTTGTACGAGATTCTTATTTGTGATAATATTTTTAAGGTATCAAGATTAATACTTAATTAATATGCAAATCTTGATAAAATTAATCAGCAAAGAAAATTAATTAAAGTTTATTTATATTAATGAAAATTATAAATATTTTGCGATTCGCATATTTGCAATTTTTTATCAGAATAATATGTATCGAGATAGAACATGTCAGTTGAAAAATAATGGATAGCAAGCTCTTTTATGATGACCATTTTTATTTCACGGATCGAGTTTGATCGAATAAATTAATGTACTTGATTATTATCAGTCGATTCGATCCGCAGAATTACTCGAATATCCAGCAGGTATAAAAGATATCTTATCTAATAGATAACGAGAATTTCTAGAGCGATCCTTATAACATATCGGTCAGAGATGCACTCTCAGGTTCCTCAGATTCCTCCAAGTAATGTCCAGATAGGAGGACGACAAGGAACACGAGAAGCAAGAAGAGAAAAAGAAAGAAAAAAAGAGAATGGAGAAGGAGTAGGAATTTTACGAAGCTCGTTAAGAGAGTCTCGGAGAGGGCTAGTTATGCTGATTAGATCGAGTTTACATATCGAGGAAGTATACAACTATCACATATTAATAGCATCGCGCGCCAAGGGCGATAAGTGCCAGCGTGTTCGGAAAAGGACGGTTTCTCGTTTTCGCGATTATAAGAGGGTGACGATAACGATAATAGACCGTGTCGCGGATATCGGAGCTGAGCCGGCGTTGCTGCAGTCGGTGCTAAATAACAACGTGCAACGACAAAAGGCCAGGATAATTGACAGGAACGGAGGGAGCCGATTACAACGTATTATTTCCTGCGGTTCCGCTTCCTGCGCGCGCAAAACGCGCTGCGAGTTATCGCGTTGTCTCTTTTCTGGTCTACCTGGTATAGACCACACAAACGATGAATCTTGGGGAACGAATTTTATACAATTACGAGATTCCCGAGGTACGATCATTATCTACACCTGTGTCATAAATGGCGGGTGTTGAATGACGTCTTAATACAAGTTAATGTCGTTTTTCTCCCTACATAGAGAGAATTTTCTTTTAGAATTTATCCTGAAAATCATGGTAATCGTGGAATAATTTTATACAAGTTTTTCTTTAATATTTTTACCCCGATAAAAAATATTAATATCTACCAGAATAAGATTTAAAAAAGTATCTTCAATTAATTTTATTATGCATGGATATTAATATTTTTTATTGTGATAAATATTAATTAGGAAAACTTTTATAAAATTCTTTCAATATTGTCCCACGATTACCATGATTTTCAGGGTAAATTCTAAGAGAAAATTCTCTCCGTGTATAATTTTTTTTGCAGACATTTTATTTTTCTGACGTTTCGAGTCAACACAACACACGTGTTATACAACAACCATGCATGTCCGAAGCTATCGCGGGATGAGCTCTCAGCATATCCGCATCACGCGCAATTAATTTCACGCGAGGCTCACGAGAGCTCGATTTGCATGTCCCGACGGCCGTGGCGTTATTTTAGAGATAGTATCTGCTCGTAACCAGGAACCCACTGCGATATTAAACGCTTCAACAGGTTTCGAGCGTTGACGCGTAAAACTCGGAGACAAAAAAAATGCCAAAGTTATTACGTATCGTAAATATAAACCAAGCATATTTTAAAGCGGCTCTAAAATTAGTGTCTGGCTTTAAATAACTTTAGGAGCCAACTATTGACAAATCTGATCGAATCAAAATAAATAATAACGCTCATTTTTCTACGAGAATGCTATATATGAATTCAGCATTCCCGCTGTCAGATGGGAGAGACAATTATCACGCGGATTCAATTTTCATCTTGGATTACGAAAATCTGAGTTCATATTTAATTTTAGCGACATTGAGGCACTTGAATAGTCGAGTCTCATCAAAGCATAAGAGTAGAGATATACTATTTTTGCACAACACGCACATATGTATCTATGTACTTGTAAAGAGTTAATGTTATGTTTAAATAATCATATCGTTGAATTTGCATCGTCGATTGTTCTTGTGCCCGACTGAAAGCTAGCATATACTACTTGCTCAGCGAGTGACATTTCGCGATGAAACGCGCAATGTCATCGTATATACTTTTGCTTTTGATTCGCCAAGCTCCGCGTGACATGTTGCATTCATCGTATTCACATTTTAGAATTTACACCAACCTACTTTTCGATGCAGAAAGAAATGGAGCAACGCGCCGTGTATAAAATATCGCAATAACGCTCCGGAACCGAAGAGATAACATCAACGGCCGCGTGCATCCGGGAAAGTGCAGACAGATGCCCGGGGAGAAGGCTGGTCACGCTTTTAACATC